AGCTCAGCAGATTAAAGTGCCTGATTAGGCAGATGCAGGGGCCTGGAGTTCAATCCCCAGCTTATGTTTCCCGTAAGAACAGTGTTAGACGGTGATTGAGACTGGGTATGGTGTGTGCGCCTGTAATTCCAGTGCTTGGAAGGCTGCAAACAGGAGGATCGCTACTAGTCCAGTCTACGAATTGAGACCCTGGAGATCCTGTCCTAAATAAAAATGAATAAATAAATAAATAAATAAATAAATAAAAAACCCTGAAATGTAATAAGGTTGAGAATACAAATTAAGATATAATTGATCATTCCTTTGTTGCGAGAAAACTTCATTTTTTAAATTTTATGATATAGTCTGTGTACTCTGATTTTTTTCTTAACCACTGTAGACGAGTGCCATTCTGTTCATCTTTTTTGAAAATTACCTTTCAGTTTCGTGTTTTTGTCTGTTGCTTGACTTCGATTTCATTAACATCAGCTCCCAAGATAATTATTTAATTTCTTGAGTCTGATTTGTTCTTTTCTTCTGTAGTTTTATAGAGTGGAAACTTGGTCACTGATTGTATATCATTCTTTTGTGTTCTAATAAAGGCATCCAAAGCTACATGTTTCCCTCTAAAGATTGCTTTAGCTGCATGGCACAAATTTTTATACGCTGTGTTTTTATTGTCATTTATTTTGAAATATTTCTCTTTTGCTTTCTTCCCTGGTATATGGTTTATTAAGAACAGTGTTCTCTAACTTGCAATTATTTAGAGTTTTTTTTTTTTGATAACACTGCTTTTGGCTTCTGGTTTCACTCATTAAAACAAAAACAAAGACAAAGACTATCCTTCATGATTTCAATGTCTGAAGCTGATTGCAGTTTGCTCTGTGAATGATCTATGACCCTTCTCGGGAATGCTTCCATGCGTAATTGTGGGGCACGTGTCCTCTGTAGTCTGAGGATACCATTTGGGAGGACTGGGCCAAGCTGCTTATACTATGGGAATTCCCTACATCTGTGTTGATTTTGCTGTGTATCTGGTATCATTTCCCATAAGAACAATGTTAGAAATGCTTCGCTGTGATTGGGAATTTGTCTTTTGCCCTTGTTAGCAGGCCTTGCTGCTCTTGCATGTTTTGGAGCTCTGGACACAGCAGTGTGGCAGCTGCCTAGGGTGTTTCCCAGGTTGAGCTAAATGGCAACTCCCAGAATGATCACAGAGGACATTTTAGTAACATATGTAGGTGGAAAGGAAGAAGTAACCCTCTGAAGCCCAGCTACTACTTCCTTTTCTGCCCTAGGGTTGGTATCTTTTATGCTATTAGAAGTCAAACAAAGTGAGGGTATAGTCTGATCATGTTTACTTCAGGCTTTAAATACTTTCAAAGGCAGCTCAAGTCTCTCTTCCCCAGGAGATCTGTGACAGTACAGACTGCAAGATGGGACCCCTAGATCTGGTATGGAACACAGCACACAAAGATGCGTAGTAAACGGAAAGAGGGAATATGTGGTGTGCAGCAGGCAAATGAGGCAGCTCAAGGCTTAGCAGCAGTGGACGTGTGACTGAAATGCGGGGACCCTAGCGCTGGAGGAGGATAATAAGGATGAAAGTGTCAGAGATCCCATAGCTACCTCTTCCAGCCTGGCTGAGTATCTCTGAGATATTCTTTTTGCTAACAAGGAGTACCCCATGTGCCCTGCTCTAATTCATTGATTTCTGTCACTTCTTTGGCCCCTGTAAATTCTAGGAGAATGAGTGGTGACTTATTAAGCAGCCCCACCTATCCTGTGAAAATGAAAAACTGTCTTCTCGCCAGTACCAGTTTGGCCATTCCTGGAGTCCAGAGACGCAGAGACACTGTAGACAAGAGTGTGGCACCTTGCTGGATGCAGTTCTCAGCCTGCCTGTGGATAGCTTGCCAATTTTCCTGCCCACTGAACTCATGACAGTTAGGAAATGAGGCCCCAGAGATTCTGTTTCAATAGAACCTGAAGCAAGGTTGCTAAAAGGAGGGAGCTGGCCAGCTGCATGCATGGTGCCCAGGCCGGGCTCTGGGAGCACAGCCAGTCCCACTGGCTGTGACTCTGTTCCAGACAGTGAAGCTGGTGCCAAAGTCCAGAGAGGCAGGAAGTGGAGCTGGGCTCTGGGAGGCCATTAAGCTGTCCCTGCTATCTGGGTCAAAGCCCCAGAATACACACCTCTGCCATCTCTTCTCTGATTCATGCTTTATTCTCCTCAGAGAAGCGTGGGGTTGGAAGACCTCCAATTTCCTCACTGAACTCTGCCCTCCAAAGGCAGAGTGCTCAATGTCTCAAAACAGCTGTCAGATGGGAAGAACAGCAGTGTCCAGCACTGCCTTGCAGGCATTCCTTGCCTGTGCACAGGCCTCTCCAGCCAATCCATCATCCCATCATCTGCAACACACTGCACCCTTACTCACTGGTCAGCAGTGCCGCCCCATCACCCACAAGGAGAGGACAGCCAAGTGGCCACTTTCTCTGGATGAGAAACTTGGGTCCTACAGAGACCATGGAGAAAAGGCATTGCCACCAGCTCTCTGCCAAGCAGAAATTACTGACGCTTGGTAATAGGACATGAGAGGATCCTTGCTCTGCACAGATCTATGTTCATCTACATGTTTCCAGACTTTCATGCCAGATGATCTTGGACACTAAAATCAGTGTGGAAAGGTATCTCAGGGGAGAAGGCAGGTTGGCTAGTCATCTCTATTTTCCTAACAGCCAGGCTGCAGAATGGTCTAGAGCTGTAGCAGAAGGGATTTATGCTAGATGTGCAGAAATTCTTCCCAATGAGAAGGTCTGAAATTTTCTAAGGATATTATGACCTGCTCATTTTTTTGTCTGCTGCTTCATCTGTACTATGTTCATATATCTTAATGCTTAAATTTGATTTTCTTGCAAAACTGAGAGAACCTATCCTGGTAGTTTGTGACCCTTGGTGTCCACATATCCCTTTGGTGTTGGTCTGTGTGCTGTGTGTGTCCCCTGAGAGGCTGGATTAGTCAACATATTTTTTCAAAGCAGACAGCATGATGTCAAGTACTGGGTTCCAGGCTGAGACTCCAAATCTTGAAGGAATTCATAGATCAGGATAGCCTGGGAGACCATGACCAGAGGTACTATGGAATGTAGAGGGAGGTTCATGGGGAACATGTGCCAGGAGATGGCTCGGCTGCCTTGAGGTATCATGATTGGTTGTTTCCAAAAGGGAATTTCAGGAGTCCCAGGAGACGAATTTAGGGTCCCTGGTCTCTTTTCCTAAGAATCTGCCCAGAAGTGGGCTCCTAGAACACAGGACAGTTAGAACTCATCTCTTGGACATGCCCTTTAATTAGGAACAGGGTCTTGAGGAAAAGGAGCTTTTGAAGGCATGCCTTTTCCCTCCCAGAGCCTCACACAGGCCTTGGTAGGGCCCTGTGCACCCATCCTCTCCCCAAAAAGGTGCAGAGTGAAGCCAGGTGCAGCAGTCCACCACCCGCCCTCTCCTCCTGGGCCAGGACTTTGAACCACCCAACCCCTGGCCCTGCAGGCCCCCGCCAGTGGTTAGACCTGGAGAGAAACTCTTAAGGCAGGCTCACCAAAGTTTGGGCCTCCCTGGAGCAGATGAGTCTGAACCCTATTCCAGAAACAACTAAGGGGCTACAGAGCAAATGATTCCCTAGAGCTGGGCCATGAAGGAAGAGAGGAAAGAAGATTATTTTCTAGGCTGTATGGTGGTTAGGAATAAATTTCTTAGAGCCAAAATGTGAGTTTAAATTTCTAGTCCTGAGCTTGCTAGCCAAACTCTGTACAAACAAACATGAACAATGAGGAGCACTCTGAGCATTGAGGCCCTCGACTGTCTGTAAAATGGGACAGACAAAAATGCTAACCTGGAAGGGTTAACATGAAGAACAAATGAGCCAGTGATACACACTGCTTGCAACTGCGCCTGGAATTCGGTGCACATATGGGCTATTGTTATTAGAACATCCTTCCAAGAAGGGCACTGCCACCACAGAACTCAGAGACTTGTCTTGGAAATGCTCTTACATTGCAAGCAAATGTTTTCTTTTTTCAATATTTTCTTCATACTATAAGGCAATCACAGAAATATTTTCTTTACAGGTGAGTGGGATTAAATGAAGTGATACATATAATGTGCTTTGAGCTGTTCCTGGCACTTGGTAAACAGTAAGTGCTAGTTATTTATCTGGGATTGCTTAGAAGTATAATGAGGGGATGATGAGGGGCAGAGAATGTGGGTGTCCTTATGACCCCTCTGTAGCTGAGAGTAGGCTCTGTTCTGTTCCATGGCTAAGCTATATGTTCAAGGCACTTACATCTAAGGACTTCTAGAGAATTAATCACGATGTCAGCCTGGGGTCAGATTACCAAGGATATCTGTATCTCTTCTCTGGGAGGTGCTCGTTGCTTTAAAGGACAGGCATCATGACCTCCAAAGGGTCCTTTTAGCCTCAGGACTCTGAATGCAAGCACTTAAGCCCTGTGCAATGACTGACACTTTCAGTCCCTGCTGGATGTCCTTGGTTTGTGGTTGGAGAGACAGGGGCTATAGGGTAAAACACATAATACCTACACGCCATGTGCTCTCCATCCATCCCGCTCACCTGTTCTAGGTCTGACCCTGGCCTGCCCAGAAGAGCACATAGGAAAGACAGACCAGAAGCCTTGGGGCCCTGTGAAAATTGATTTTATGATGGTCCAGAGTACCATACACTGGAATAACTATGTGTCTGGTTTTTTCCCCCCAGTATTGGGGATTAAACCCAATCCTTCACACTAAGCTGCATCCCCAACCTTTTTAAATTTTTCCTTTTATTTTTTTTTTTTTCTTTTATTGTTTGAGACAGGGTCTTGCCAAGTTGTCCAGGCTGGGCTTGGACTTGTGACCCTCCTGCTTTGGCCTGTCAGAGTGTGGGGATTATAGACATGCACTACCATACCCAGCTGCCTCTAAATAATGCCACCATGTCCCATTTGCCCACCCCCAGATGTTTTACCTCGTGGATCCCAAAGTGAGCATAGGAATCAAAGTAATAATCTCTTGACGTCATCTCCTCTGGGTTCAACAGCTTGGACATCTTGCCCCGGCCTGGGCAGCTGGGTTGAGTGGACACATGATGGACACATTGCACAGGCTTGGGTGGGATGACAGGCTGAGGGGGCTGGGAGGGGGGACTGCTCACCTGAAGGAAGTGAAAGGGCCAGGGGTTAGCAGAGGCAAGGAGGTCCCACCCTTCAAGGATTTCCTCCCCTCCCTCTCTTTCCCAGAACTCTAAACAGGCAGAGCAGCAGCCCCGCTGAGGGGTCAGTGACTGCACCCCACTTCCTGGCAGTCAGGCTTATGGCTGTGAACTTCAGGGAGGTGATGTGCTGCTGATGAGCCAAACAGACCTGGACTGAACCCAGCTACAGCTCTTATGAGCTGGGCAAACTGAGTTTATCAAGGCCTCAGTTTCTATAGCTGTTATATGGCAAAAGCACTTCCTTGTAGAGGAAAATAGGAGCTCTTGACAAAAACGAAGATGTACAACATAGTAGTTGGCTAAGGATGTAAACTCCAGAACAGCCTCCTGGGCCTTGGGGTTGGTGGGGTCTGGGTGTAGAGTGTCCCTCAAGGGATTGATGTATTGGAGGCTGCACCATGTATTTGAGATCGGGATGCTAAGAGGGAGAGCCCACTCTTAACACTTTGCAGCCCAGCTTTCTACTACTGCTGCCCATCACTGTCTTGGCCCCCATACCCTACAAGAGGCTAGGAGAGGAAGGAGAAAGACATATGGCTCCAGGGGTTCCTGGAGCCCAGGGTTAAGTTCAAACTCTTCTGCAGAGCACATCCTCTCCCCAACCTCCAAGAGACTCAGATCTTCAAGGTTTCAAAGCAGGCCCTGGGCACAGCTCAGAGATAGGCTGGTTGCCTACCAGGTGGACAGGCAGACAGACAGACAGACTCAAAGACAGATAAAAGAGACAAGGCCAGAGAGAGATAAAAAGCTACACACACACACACACACACAGAGAGAGAGAGAGAGAGAGAGAGAGAGAGAGAGAGAGAGAGAGAGACAGACAGACAGACAGACAGACAGACAGACAGAGAGCCAGAGAGCCAGAGACAAGATTACCTACAGTTGGTTTCCTGGGACTGAGAATCAGGGCTCCAGGATCCTATCCTGGCTCAAGTAAAGTTAAGAATAAATCTTGAAAGTAGATAACACTGACTGACAGTTCAAACTCTAGCATCATGTTGCCTGGCTCTGAGACGCAGCTCTGCGGCTCACTGGCTGTGCGGCTTTGGGAAGTCACCTGTCACCACCTCTCCTCACTTTCCTCCCCTGTAAGTTATGGAGCATAATAAAAGCTTCATGAAACAATTTTCAAGACATTTGGATAAGGCTATAGGTATAAAAACTTTAGAACTCTGCCTGGCATGCAATAAGCATTTAATTGAATTTACTACTACTATTACTATTATTCCAATTATATAAATTATGTCCCTGTTCTGTCTCAATTTTCTCATCCATGAGCTGGTTCTGGTCAGATTTACTATGAAAGAAAGCAGGGGACCTTAGGAAAGAGCAGATCCAGAAGCCCAATGACCTGTCCCTTCCTGTCTGACATGGGCACAGCCCCAGGGACCTCCCGTGTTTGAGGCCAAGGGGAGCGGGCTGGGGGCATGATGGTCCTGTCTTCCTGGTGTATGTAGGTTACTGCCTCTGCAAGATGAGAGGACTTCGGGCCTGAAAGCGCCTGGGCTGGCTGGCGGGGAGGCAAGTGGGGCTGCCTCATTAGCATGCAGCAGGTGTGCCCACCTCCGCTCCACAGATGCTGGTCACGGTCTCCAGGAAGCTAAAAATAGACTGTGTCAATTGCACACTCCCGTGCAGGCTGCAGAGTCACCTCTAGCGCTGAAGAAGGCTCCGCATGTGCAGCTGACCCCAATATTGACTCCATTTAAATACATTAGGAAAGAAAATCATCAAGCTGGTTCAGGCACTGTGCACAGTCAAGGTCACGGGGCCTCCAGCACCCCTGAGCTGTCATTCAGCTCTGAATCTTACTGCCCTTTTCATGTGGGTTCCTTTCCCCAACAGCCAACTTACAAATGTCTACCATGTGCCACCCATGACATAAGGCTAAAAGATGAATAGGTTTGGAGCAGGGGCACTGACTCCAAAACCCACAGGTGATGGGTCAAAGAGGAGACTGCAGGCCAGTTCCTGCTAGCCAGTGCTGCTGGCTGAGATCAGCCTCCCCGCAGAGCAAGTCTTGTTCCACCTTTGGGCTAATAGAGCACCCTCTTTCAGAAGGCTGCAAGGAAGTGGGACATCGCAGTGGCCTCCGACCTGTGGCATTCAGCTACCTGGGGCACTGCTTTTAATTCCACAAATACCCACTGAGCCCCTGCCAAAGAGGGGCGCTACATAGAAGAAACAGACACTGCAACTTTCAGCCCTTTCCAAGGGCTGCTTTCTAGGCCCTGCCACCCTTGAGAAACTGCAATGAGGTGTATTCTACAGAAGAAGTTCAAGGAACTTGTTGGAAGATACAAAAGAGAGATATTTTTTATTTCAGCTTGGAGAATCAGAAAATCCCATGATAGCTGGCAGCAGGAAACGGAATGGTGGGGGAGATTTTAGAATGGCTTTTGGAAGGGAGAGATGATGGGAGGGAACTCAAAGAGGAAGAGATGATCTCAGCAAAGGGTGAAGGGTGGGAAAGAGTGAGCTTGTTTGGAGCAGCTTGGCTGCGATGGTGGAGGAGTTGGTTGGTACGACATTATGGTCAGGCTAAGAGGTGGTAGGTAGTTAAATACCAAGACCATAGGGATCTGCTGCCCTTTGTAGCCAGGGAGTTCTGTGCTTGAGCTCTGTTTTTGGACCATGAATGCCACAGCAGCACGCAGGAGGGGGAAAGAAAGGAGGCGGTAGAGGCACCAGCATTGGGGAGGCCAGAAATGACTTTAGGGAGGCTATTTTCAAAGCCCAGTCAAAAATAATGAGAATGTGAACTACTAGGGTGTTGGAGGGGCTGCTCGACAAAGAAATGCAGAAATAGAGCCTATAGGAGTTGGCAGCTGACGGAATGTGTGGGGGAAGAGAGAAAAGTTGGAATCAGAGATGACTTCCACATTTCAAGCCTGGTTGAGTAGGAAAATAGTGGTGACATTAACAGAAATAAGCAAGTCAGCAGGAAGAGCAAGTTGGGGTGGGGGAAATAATGAATTTCTATGTAGATATATGGAGTTTGAAATGTCATTGAGTCATACAAGAAAAGATGTCTAGCAAGCAGATATTACAGCACTTCCAGTCAATAAATATCATAAACCAAATGAGAAGGCAAATGACAAGTAGAGAAGTACTTCCTGACACACATGGCAGGTGTGGAAAGAGCCCTTACAAACCAGGAAGAAAGAGATGATCACCCTGATTTAATGGGGGCCAAGCAACCTAGTCTACTCATAGAAGAATACATATGCATGCAAAATTCACATACAATAAAAATGCTTAAATGATACTAGAAATCAGGTAAATTCAAAATAAAAAAAACTTATAGCCTCCTCTCCCACAAAACTACAGAATAAACCTCTGCCTTTGTAAGGTTTTCAGAAACACAGGTGCTTGTACAAACTTCTTGTGGAAATAGGTTAAAAGATTTTGGAAAAAAGTTTGATAAAATGTCACAGATATAAGCAGAAATTATTGAATCCATGCCTACAATTTTGATCAGGAAGAGAGAATTTTAGACCATCATAAGTCAGTAGCCAACAAGTTCCATGACAGTGCTGTTCACGATAAGAGAAACAAGAGTCACCTGCAGTGCTCCAGGAAACAAAGTGGATGCCATCGACCACGATGCACCCACACTGCAGGACGCTAGCCGGCCACTAAAAATATCATGTAAAGAGTATTTAATGACACAAACACACATGTGCACGAAGTGCTGGTTGAGGAGGACAAGCAGAAAAACACACAGTATGATTGTGCTTTAAAAATCCTAGCCCATTCATGCCCTGCTGTAACAGAACTCAAGGTATTTATGAAGTGAAGAGCAGCACCCCATGCGGATGGACACCCAGGCGCAGAGGGCACTGTGATTTCCCGCCCACTCCATGAAGACTGCAAGAAAGGAAATCCGGGAAGGCACGAGCACGGGCAGTGGTGGATGTAGGTTGTTGGGTCACACATGGTTCTTCCCTTTATTGTGCTTGTTTATATTTTCTAAATACACCATCAACTCACATCATTTTTGTAAATAGCAAAAAATAATATTGAAAAAGCAAAGGAAATGCAAGCCCAGACCTTTGCAGTGAAATGGAGCCTGGTGATCTGCTTAGAAGCACCTGTAGGTACAAGGACTTTGAGATGCTCAAAGAATATGCCCCAGGGGAAGAGCAGGTGAGGGTGGCAGGTAGAGGCCCCAGGGGTCCAGAGAGAGAAGCTTCAGGACAGGAAGCCCCATGTTGTGGGGCAAACATGTCCCTACTACTCCAGGACTGTGACCAGGCCTCCTCTGAAGAAGCATGGCCTGGCACCACTCTTCAGGGCCCAAGCAGACAAAGGTCAAGGCAAGGCAGCTCCTGAGGACATGCTCAGACAGCAGTGTGGTCACCCATGAAGTCCAAGAAGCAGTGTGCACTGCTGAGTCCAGCAGAGACTTCACTGAAGTCTATTTTTATTTTATTAGTACCTGCCTTGGTAACTTTTCTCTCATTGCTGAGACAAAATACCCAATGTCCAGATTAAAGGAAGAAAAGGTTTATTTAGCTCATAGTTTGTGGATGTTTCAGTTTATACTTGGCTGATGCCAAGGCAGGGTGGCATGGTGAGGGGCAACAGTTCAAGGCAGCAGAAGACAGCAAAAGCAGCAAGAGCAAAAAGGGAGGAGCAGCAGAGAGCAAACATCTTTCCTCCCTTACACTGTATGCAAGCTACCCACCCAGTGCACACGCCCATACCATGAATCAACAAGAAGCTTTAGAAGCCTGACCCATGACTTTAGGGGCATGTCTAGACACAGACCACAACAGCACGTGTTCGCGACACATAGTGAGTACATCCATCATGGAACCATAAACATATCCCATCTTAGTCCCTTTTATTTCCTTTCTATAAGGATATGAAGGAGGGAGAAACTGACTGGCCCAGAAACTGTGCACAGTCCAGGTTACAAGGCCTCTAGCACCTCT